AGGCTACACTGTCAAAAGGGCCTTGTCCTGTTTTACTAATGTGTTTGTTTTCTTGTGCCTCAATGAATCTTTAATGCACCTTTGAATACTGTTTGCTTATCACGTGGGGTCCGTGAACAGGCCATCAGCATTTGTGTGTAAAGTCTCAGGTACGGCCATTTTTCTCTGGGGTTGAAGGTATGTCAGGATACTTATACTCCCCAGGGAGCTGAGTACGCAGCGTACCGATTTTGTTGACCGGAGTAATAATGTCAGTGCAATGTGAGTTCTCTGAGTCTTATGGTGTATACCGGCCTATTGTATTCGTTATGTTATTTTTGTTATAAAAAGGGGATAAGTTTACATTTTGGCAAAATGAGATATGTTAACAGAAACTATTGTTGAATATACATTCAACATCCTAATATGGTAAATCGTCGAAGAAAAAATCTTTACCATTCTGGCTGCAAGTTTGAAAAAAGACCAAAAACGTCCGATCTGTTATAGAACAGGCATCCTAACCACCCCTTACTCATATTGGCCTGGCCCTCGGCAATTGTACCAATATGGAGGTAAACTAGTCGATAAACCCTAAATGATCGGCGATCCACAGGGTACATACGTCTGTTTATACAAATCAATACGGATACAATAGAAAACACGAACACCCAGCACTTCATAGGACCAATCGTACTGCAATAAATATCACGCAAATTCACTTAGTATTTGGTGACTATATTACCCCGTGGCAGCGATACCTGATCTCGTAATTCTGCCCGAAGAGGGGAGTGAATCGGTCAACATTTTCATTTCAAACAGATTATTTCTCCCCTCTTTATGCATTCAGCGGCACTTGAAGTTAGTTTCTTGAGGTCACGAGTATTTACAAAGGTTGTCTTTTACCTTTTGAACCTCCGCACCAAGACACCCCTTCTTGGACCCTCTCAGCGTTAGAGTGTGAGGATCGCCACCTCCGACCCCCTCTGTCACCACGGCGTGCCTGTTACACCATATACAAACAGCTTGTCTTGATATGAAGACATCAAAGGGAGATAAATCCACATAACAAAGCGCGGATGAGACAGTGCTTGCGATCACGTGTCTTCTCTTACATCAATTACAATGGTCTTGGAGTTAAAGTGATATACAATAGTCATTACAACAAAGTGGTGGTTTTAATCGAAATATTACAAGATAAGGGGTTGTTTAAAAGGCAATTGTAAATCTTCTTTCTCTGTGTTACACTATTGCACAACGGGACTTACACGCCTTTATGTTTGACAAGGGGCGGTCGGGTAGCCTAGTGGTTAAAGCGTTCGCACGTCACGCCGAAGACCCGGGTTCGATTCCCGACATGGGTACAATGTGTGAAGCCCATTTCTGGTGTCCCCGCCCTGATGTTGCTGAAATATTGCTAAAAGCGGCGTAAAACCATACTCACTCATTCATGTTTGACACGAGGCCTGATTGTGGAATCTTTGATTACAAAACAAAGAAAATTGTCAAAGTAAGCCAAAGCGCGATAATGCGACAATGGCCCTTATATGATTCCATACTGCCTAACTGAAAACGTAGACGGAATACAAACATGCAGTCAAGAATATGTCGGCTGCTCGAATATTGAAAACATACAAGCACCGTAAACTACGGTTATAACGAAGTCGAAGGGACCACTAATTTTAGTTTGTAATAACCGTAGTTCGTTATAAGCATATTTACTGCATATATACAACAAATGGCCGGGACTACAAATTAAGTTCGTTATATCGATTAGTTCGTTATAAGCGTATCGTAATAAACGTAGTTTACTGTATATTCGAACAGCTAAGGTTATGAAAGTAATTTGATATTCCAAGAAGATTATGGCAATGGACAACACACTATACCTGAAACTAATTAAAAGAAACCGGAGACCAGTTTCGAGTTGCTGGTAATACACTGTAGACTAGATTCGAAAATTAAAAATAATCAAATAAATAATCAAACATCAGACACCCGATACAAAATGACATGTGTCGCCTAGAGGATATCTGGTTATCATTAGACATTCTATGTTTGACGTGTGAAGGATCTGTCGTCGTCCGACATCCTATGTTTGTCATTTGTCGTCATCTTGTTGTCAGACACCCTATGTTGGACATTTGTCGTCCGCCTGATATCTGGTCGTCAGACACCCAATGTTTGACATTTGTCGTCCGCCGGATATCTGGTCGTCAGACAACCAATGTTTGACATTTGTCGTCCGTCGGATATCTGGTCGTCAGACACCCTATGTTGGACATTTGTCGTCCGCCGGATATCTGGTCGTTAGACACCCTGTGTTTGACATTTGATGTCTGTAGGATATCTTGTCGTCAGGCGAACTTTGTATGTAATGTGTCGTCTCTAGTCGTTAGGCACCCTGTGTTTGTCATTTGTCGTCTGCAGGATATCTGGTCGTTATATTTGATGTCTGCAGGATATCTGGTCGTCAGACACCCTACGTTTGACATTTGTCGTCAACAGCATATTTTGTCGTCAGGCACCCTATGATTGACATTTGTCTTCTGCAGGATATCTTGTCAAACACTCTATGTTTGACATTTGTCAGCAAGATATCTTGTTGTCAGACACCCTATGTTTGACGTTCGTCGTCACATCAATTCTGGTTGTATCGAATGGGGAATCTCTTGTCATCATCTTCTACCTGTAAATGACAACGAAAGATCCGGTAGACGACACAGTCATTAGTTTGTCTGACCCAGACCAGGTAATAATCGTCTTTACCTGAATGATGTGCCGGGTTAGACTAGAGGATAAATTATTCCCTCGTAATTATTCGCACCAGTTATATATTTTAAGTTAAAGTGTATTGTTAATCTGTTCAACGTGGGCATTTAATTTGAACAGCACACTTAATGATGACAATGCAGTCAACTACAAGTTATCAAGTGCTTCATATTCAAAATATGCATGACATCAGCTGGGATTACATCTGCTCAGAGGCGCCAATAAATGCAAGTTTTACACTTGTATGCAACCTTCTAGTTTCACTACGATTACATCTTGGGACAAGATATGATTAGAGTATTAAATGACATGGCTTTTCCATCCCGTACACAAAGGCTTTGAAATAGCGTGGAGATTCTTGTAACGAAAACATGATCAAAATTGTAAGTAGCGTTATTATCCCTTATAGCAATATTCAATGGACACTTGAAAGACTGACTGAATAAATTGAAGATGTCGTGTTACGAATACTATTAGCAATTCTTCTGTTGAGACTGGTCATTGTGGCGTGAAATTGAATTTTTTCCATTTCTTTCCAATCTCAAAGTTGGTTTTGATTGAGGTGTAACTTAACAGTGTTATTTGACGACCGTCCCGCAGTGAGGGGGATTAATTATTCATACTATCTGTCTGTGGATTGAATCGCTGGATCGTAGGTTTATCATACTCAGCTTTATTTGCATAATTAATTACAGGTATAAAGCAGGTGTTATGAGGCCATTGGGAAAAGCAGAAGGAGAAACCAAGAATATGAAGGAGATATTATTTGAGGGGATGAGAAGTTATGAGTAGGTGGGGGTTAGGTTGGGTGGTTGGGGAATGGAGGGGGTGGGAGGTGAGTGGAGCTAGAGAGGTTTAAGTGGGGCTGGGATTAGTTTTGGGGGTTGGGATGGGAAGCTGAGAGGAGGTGGGGTGTAGGGGGCTGGTGTTAGGGTTGGGTGGTGATGGAGCTGGGTGTGGGAAGCTGAGAGGAGATGGGGTGTCGGGGGCTGTGTTAGAGTTGGGTGGTGGTGGAGCTGGGTGTGGGAAGCTGAGAGGAGGTGGGGTGTCGGGGGCTGGTGTTAGAGTTGGGTGGTGGTGGAGCTGAGGGTGGGAAACTGAGAGGAGGTGGGGTGTAGGGGGCTGTGTTAGAGTTGGATGGTGGTGGAGCTGAGGGTGGGAAGCTGTGAGGAGGTGGGGTGTCGAGGGCTGGTGTTAGAGTTGGGTGGTGGTGGAGCTGGGGGTGGGAAGCTAAGAGGAGATGGGGTGTAGGGGGCTGTTGTTAGGATTGGGTGGTGGAGCTGGGGAAGGGAAGCTGAGAGGAGGTGGGGTGTAGGGGGCTGGTGTTAGGGTTGGATGGTGGTGGAGCTGGGTGTGGGAAGCTGAGAGGAGGTGGGGTGTCGGGGGCTGGTGTTAGAGTTGGGTGGTGGTGGAGCTGAGGGTGGGAAACTGAGAGGAGGTGGGGTGTAGGGGGCTGGTGTTAGGATTGGGTGGTGGAGCTGGGGATGGGAAGCTGTGAGGAGGTGGGGTGTAGGGGGCTGGTGTTAGAGTTGGGTGGTGGTGGAGCTGAGGGTGGGAAACCGAGAGGAGGTGGGGTGTAGGGGGCTGTGTTAGAGTTGGATGGTGGTGGAGCTGAGGGTGGGAAACTGAGAGGAGGTGGGGTGTAGGGGGTTGGTGTTAGAGTTGGGTGGTGGTGGAGCTGAGGGTGGGAAACTGAGAGGAGGTGGGGTGTAGGGGGCTGGTGTTAGAGTTGGATGGGGATGGAACTGGGGGTGGGAAGCTGAGAGGAGGTGGGGTGTCGGGGGCTGGTGTTAGGGTTGGATGGTGGTGGAGCTGGGGATGGGAAGCTGAGAGGAGGTGGGGTGTCGAGGGCTGGTGTTAGGGTTGGATGGTGGTGGAGCTGGGGATGGGAAGCTGAGAGGAGGTGGGGTGTAGGGGGCTGGTGTTAGGGTTGGATGGTGGTGGAGCTGGGGATGGGAAGCTGAGAGGAGGTGGGGTGTAGGGGGCTGGTGTTAGGGTTGGATGGTGGTGGAGCTGGGGAAGGGAAGCTGAGAGGAGGTGGGGTGTAGGGGGCTTGTGTTAGGGTTGGGTGGTGATGGAGCTGGGGATGGGAAGCTGTGGGGTGTAGGGGCTGGTGTTAGGGTTGGGTGTTGATGGAACTGGGGGATGGGAAGCTGAGAGGAGGTGGGGTGTAGGAGGCTGGTGTTAGGGTTGGGTGGTGGTGGAACTGGGGGATGGGAAGCTGAGAGGAGGTGGGGTGTAGGGGGCTGGTGTTAGGGTTGGATGGTGGTGGAGCTGGGGATGGGAAGCTGAGAGGAGGTGGGGTGTCGAGGGCTGGTGTTAGGGTTGGATGGTGGTGGAGCTGGGGAAGGGAAGCTGAGAGGAGGTGGGGTGTAGGGGGCTGGTGTTAGGGTTGGGTGGTGGTGGAACTGGGGGATGGGAAGCTGAGAGGAGGTGGGGTGTAGGGGGCTGGTGTTAGGGTTGGGTGGTGGTGGAACTGGGGGATGGGAAGCTGAGAGGAGGTGGGGTGTAGGGGGCTGGTGTTAGGGTTGGATGGTGGTGGAGCTGGGGGTGGCCAGGAGTGATGAGTGGAGCCGGTGTGTTGGAGTTATTAATGGTTAAAGTGACGGTGGGTTCAATTGTGAAACTCATAGGAATTAAGCTCTTTATCCGTTATTTGTGCAACCTAATAATTAACGTTTTCAAACTTCTGTTGTATTGCAGTACTGAGCTATTAGTGGCACAGAGATGCGTAAGCATTTCAAGTATCCCGGCGTCATGATTGAAACGGCATATGCACTAGCGGGTATTATTCAGGCAGTGATCAGGGGCAGAGAGCTTTTTATGCTCTTAATATTGTTTGATGGTGTGTGAAAGGTTTATATTTACATTATCTAATAGTAATTTCGTCTTCCGTATTTCTATCTTGGCATAACTAATAAAAATCCCAATGACGTCCGAGCTAATTTGGGATTGCACCAACACTACCGGATAATAAGCTTCCAACCCGCCCTGTTCTCAGTGGAACCCGTTATACCTGTCCCAGAAATAACTCTCTAACTTTCAAAAAAGCCATTTAAGGATTACAGGTGAGATATCGGTGTCGTCTGCTCTGACGTCACGACATATTCACATTCAGAGACCATTGTCACAGCGTTCGCCGGGTATGAATTTTACATGAGCAGGAGACCCTGCTTCGTATAGATGTCATTGTCTGGTCCCTACCTCTCGCCTAATTGATTTTTAATTAAGCTACCTTCAGGAATATCGATCGCGTGGCGAATATCGTCTGCTCTCTTCTCCGTCCTGGATGATCATTTGCCGCCAATTTATTACAGAGATCAGCCAGCCAAGCAGAAAACCGGACAAGAGGCGAGAGACTCATTGTCACATGATAGCGCCACCTAATGGACATTTCTAGTTCCTCAATCTTTGAAGTCTTCTAAAATGTGGCTCGCTTCAAAATAATCTTGATTGGGTATCGAGCTATCATTACTTCTAACTTTGATTGACAGTTTTTCAATATATTTTAACGCTGGGAATATTAGCATCGGTCTCTCGCTACCTGAGCTGCACGTGCTATTGTTTCCCGGCAGCGCGTGCTCACCTTAGTCGGTATGATTCACCTTGCAGAGAAGACAATACCGGATGTCGTCTGCGATACAACCGGAAGTCTACCTGGAGAGCTCGTGAGTAGCTTGTGAAGCATCGGACAATAAAAATATTGGAGATTTCATTGAGAATGTTGAAATACAAAGCTTCAACTCGCTTTACCCACTAATGACTCGGAATGAGTCGAGAAGGGTCTTTCCTCATCGCCATTTCAATGTGATATTTAATGACGAGCCTTGATCGATAGGCTAAAGAGGTTGAGAGACAATTTCCCGATACTGATCCTAAAAGGCCGTCGTTTGGAGTCTGTCAGTGCGGATTAAGGCATTTCAGGTCCTGTTAGCCGAGGATTGTCTGAGAGCTCGACTTGAGAATTGATAAAGACAAATGATTGCAAGGCCACTAAGTCAAATTTCCTCTCTTAGAAGATAGTCTCATGCAAATGGGCAACAACCTATTACAGTGCGTGTGATCAACAGGCCATTGAAGGGGGCGTGGGACTCCGTACAAGACTTCTATGGCATCTATACATGCAGCGGAGGGGACAATGCTCTGTGTCGTACATTATGCCATGAAAGTCATAAGGAGAATGCGGAACTCTAGGGGGACAGACTACGTGAACATACATCACTACAGGTGCCCTGTAAATCAGAGATAAATCCATCAAGAATTAAGATGATAACTTGTAAAACTCAAGTTTTATATAGACACGCTTGCATTTTTGTTGTATATGTTTCTGGAATAGTTACACGATACGATGCATGGAAACCGAATTTAAATAAATGAGAGTTGGGATGGGTGGGGGATTTTGGTGGTCATGGATTTCGGATGATCGAAATTTGTGGGACACACTCAAATACTGAAGCAGAGTACAAGAATACAGTATAGGAAAAATAGTTTTGATGTCTGACCGTGTAACCAGTGCGAAAGCTTATTCATGTGTATTAACACATCTACATATAAACAGTTAAATAAACATCTTTTATACATTATATTATATACATCTTTTATATATGACCTTTTCGGAGAATGTGAAGACTCCCCAACACTGCAGCCTTCTGCATTACCCAGATTGTCAGAAGGGCTGTATTCCTGGTAACACACCCGGGTACTCTCCTAATACCACTCAACAGATTGGGAGATACCAAACCCAAGGCACCGAGAACAATGGGGAGTCGGACAACTTGGTACTTGGGATGCAAGCGTGACATTTCGAAAGCGAGGTCCGCATATTTGCCATGTTTTTCTTGAACCTGTCATTCACATTAGTGTCAAAAGGGACAGAAAATTCAATAATATAAATGATTTCATTGGATTTATCAAAAAGGACAAGATCAGGTTTGTTGGCCTGCATAGGTCTGAGACTGAAACCAAAGAAGTTTGTATTTATCGTTTTCCATTACGTCTCTACATAGTCTGGGTCGTACCATGGATGGACCTCTCTGTCAAAACCACAAGCATGGCGAAGACGGTAAACAATTATCGAGTCACTCCATAATGTCCCTTAAGATATGTGTTTGTGCCAAATCTGGGCATCCACTGACAATGTGTTGGACAGTCTCATTAAATTCATTGCATAATCAACATTTCATATAATTTTACATGTTGGTGCAAAATCACGCATTGACGATTTCGAGTGGGAAGTGACTGGTCCTGGGCAGCAAACAGGGATATAGATGAGTGTGACGTAAAACAACAAACAATATAATTCTTCGTGGAAATTACTTGAGATAACAATCTAAAATATACGAGGTCGCTTAAAAACTGAAACGCTAAGAGTCATATAATGTACCCTGGTTGAATCGTGTCGTGACGTATACTGAAACACTTTGAAAACTCATATTGGATTTTTTTCTAATATATGGCAAACGTACCACAAAAAAACGAAGTTGTTGGGTATTCAGATATGATATTATCAAACACAACAATGGCGTTGTACGGGTTCGAATCTCATTCTTCTCATCTTTTCTGATTTCGAGTTTATGTTGGTTATACATTTTCAATGTATTTAAGGATTGAAGCTGTATTTGTTGACGTTCATCAGCTGATGAAGACAGTGCCTCACGTGAGCAAATTCCATGATGTGCGATGAGTAATCACGTGACATACTGACGTTCATCGGGAAATGAACGCCAGTCAGCCTGGTGAGTGAGTATGGTTTTACGCCGCTTTTAGCAATATTCCAGTAATATCACCGCGAGGGACACCAGAAATGGACATCACACATGTATGGGAATCGAACCCGGGTCTGCGGTGTGACGAGCGACCGCTTTATCCACTAGGCTACCCGACCGCCCCAGTCGGCTTGGTAGTGTTCACCTAGGCGAGGGGTACCCGCTTCTGTCAATCTGTCAGTATGACGTTTTACTAAAAGTTTTCGACCCGCGAAGATCCGGGTTGTCTTCAGCAACCAATGCTTGTCGTTAGAGGCGACTAACGGGATCGGGTGGTCAGGCTCGCTGACTTGGTTTATACATGTCATCGTATACCAATTACGTTGATCGATGCTCATGATATCAATCTCTGGATTGTCTGGTCCAGACCCGATTATTTACAGACCACAGTCATATAGCTGGAATAGTGCGGCGTTAAACAACAAACAAACAAAACTAACATTTTTCGTAATATTTGAGAAAAACTTGTATATTTTGTTTTGTTTAATTCAGTATTCCTGCCTTAACACTGTCAATTTCACCACACACACAGCGAGTGAGAACTAAACACGTCTATAATCAGTTTGACCCGGATTATAATCCAGATATATCCAACGTTCACACCACCACCATCAAGTGCACTGACACATGTTCCACGGACACATTCCATGATAATTGTGTTATCATTTCAAAGCTAATTTTTCTGCCATAACTCGCCTCGGCAAAACATACGAGTGTAACCTTTGATAGGGATACTCTGCATTGATGGTGATAATATCGGTGATATTTCAGCAGAGATGTTCTCATCTGACTGTTGGAAGCGCTTGCCGAATGTCAGATGACTGTCACGGGTCGAGTCGTAGCAACATGGCCTAACAAGTTGGAAAATATTGTCTGGGTAATTGATGTAAGTGGTGCTATTTGTGTCCCTGTTGTCTGCTTGTAGGTAAATGTTGATTCTCTCACAGCGGGGGGCGACCGACACAAGTCAGGCAAAGGGTAAATGGGCGAGAACCCCTGCACAGAGGACAGCCATCATGCTGACTTCATCTGATGAGATGGGAACCTGCGGGCGGTAAGCGTCAAGCAGAGGGTGTACCCAATGACGGCCAGAGATCCTGCAGACGACACCTGTCAGATCCTGCAGGCGGTAAACGTCAAGCAAAAGGTGTACCCAGTGACGGCCAGAGATCATTGATGGCGACATCCATTAGATCCTGCAGGCGGTAAGCGTCAAGCAGAGGGTGTACCAAATGACGGCCAGAGATCCTGCAGATGACACGCGTCAGACCCTGCAGGCGGTAAGCGTCAAGCAGAGGGTGTACCAAATGACGGCCAGAGATCCTGCAGACGACACGCGTCAGACCCTGCAGGGGATAAACGTCAAGCAGAGGGTGTACTGAGTGACGGCCAGAGATCATGCAGGTGACATCCGTCAGATCCTGCATGCGATAAACGTCAAGCAGAACGTGTACCCAATGGCGGCAAGAGACTTTGCAGGCGATAAACGTCAAGCAGAGGGTGTACCCAATGACGACCAGAGATCCTGCAGATGACACGCGTCAGACCCTGCAGACGATTAACGTCAAGCAGAGGGTGTACCCAATGACGACCAGATATCCTGCAAACGACACCCGTCAGACCCTGAAGGCGATTAACGTCAAGCAGAGGGTGTACCCAATGACGACCAGAGATCCTGCAGATGACACGCGTCAGACCCTGCAGGCGGTAAACGTCAAGCAGAGGGTGTACCCAATGACAACCAGAGATCCTCAAACGACACCCGTCAGACCCTGCAGACGATAAACGTCAAGCAGAGGGTGTACCCAATGACGACCAGAGATCCTGCAGATGACACGCGTCAGAGCCTGCAGACGATAAACGTCAAGCAGAGGGTGTACCCAATGACAACAAGAGATCCTCAAACGACACCCGTCAGACCCTGAAGGCGGTAAACGTCAAGCAGAGGGTGTATCTAATGACAACCAGGGGCCCTGCAGATGACACGCGTCAGACCCTGCAGGCGGTAAACGTCAAGGAGAGGGTGTACCCAATGACAACCAGAGATCCTCAAACGACACCCGTCAGACCTTGCAGACGATAAACGTCAAGCAGAGGGTGTACCTAATGACAACCAGAGACCCTCAAACGACACCCGTCAGAGCAAGCAGACGATTAACCTCAAGCAGAGGGTGTACCCAATAACGACCAGAGATCCTGCAGACGACACCTGTCAGAGCCTGCAGACGATTAACGTCAAGCAGAGGGTGTACCCAATGACGACCAGAGATCCTGCAGACGACACCTGTCAGAGCCTGCAGACGATTAACCTCAAGCAGAGGGTGTACCCAATGACGACCAGAGATCCTGCAGACGACACATGTCAGAGCCTGCAGACGATTAACGTCAAGCAGAGGGTGTACCCAATGACGACCAGAGATCCTGCAGACGGCACCTGTCAGAGCCTGAAGGCGATTGACGTCAAGCAGAGTGGACCCAATGACGACCAGAGATCCTGCAGATGACACGCGTCAGACCCTGCAGACGGTAAACGTCAAGCAGAGGGTGTACCCAATGACGACCAGAGATCCTGCAGACGACACGCGTCAGACCCTGCAGA